TGACGTTATGTTAGATTTAAGAAGATTGGCCTGGTTCCAGCTTGATGGGTGTCTAGCTCATTATTCGAGAATAGTTAGAAACTGGCTGGACGAAAATTATCCAGAAAGATGGATCGGCCGTGGAGGACCAGTCGCCTGGCCTCCACGATCCCCTGACCTAAATCCATTAGATTTCTTTGTGTGGGGATTTCTAAAAGAAAAAGTGTACCAGACTCCCGTAACCACAAAAGATATGCTAATAGACAGAATCAGGAATGCATGTGATGAAATAAGGGCTTATTTGGATAATGCTATACCACGTTCGATCTTTCGTAGATGTGAATTGTGTATTGAACAATTGGGTTTACATTTCGAGCAACTACTGTAGATTTTGTATGTTTCTCCTAACTATCCAATAGCATTTTAGTTGTAAATAATTAATTTAATTTGTTAAAAATAATATTGGAAAATTACACAAATTAATATTGTTTTTTTGTGTTTATTTGGAGTTAGGAATTATTGCTGTGTTTAAAAACACAATCTGAACGATCATCTTAATTGCTTGTAATGCCCAAATCGAAAATGTAAAAAAAAATATTACTTTCCCATAAATAATTAAAAATGCATCGAACCTTAAAAATCGAAATATCTCAAAAACGGCAAACTATAACGAAAACTCACTGGAGAGCTTTTTTATGTTGACATGTGTAAAGAATCAGTTTTTTTATTCAAAAAGCAAAAAATTGCACTAAGAAAAAATGTTCGGTCATTTTAATACGCTACAGGTACAGTAGAGAGCGCCCTCTGGCGGCTACTGTAAAACTATGCCCCTTGGTTCGTTTTGTCGTACCAAAAAACCCTTGTATACCAATTTTCACTGTTATACATCAAATATTGTTCGAAAGTAAATTTAAACACCATTTCGGAAGCCACACATGTTTCGACCCATGTTTATATAGACTTTATGCATTAATTTTAAAAGTTCTATCGAATCTTAAAGTTATGCCACAATAAACTGAAACACCCTGTATATGAATCGGCCAATATGTCTGCCGTATGCTGATAATAGCTGATCGATACAAATCAGAAGGTTTATGAATGTCACTATTCAATTGGAAACAAAAACAGTATACAGGATGACACAAAAAGTCCCGGAATAACTCTGTATTCAACAGTGACCTTGAGTTTGACCTTGTCATTCACCTTCAAGGTTAATTTACGGTCTACTTCATTTTTTTAAATAGAAAGCCCTATTTTTGATACCGGCAATCGAAGGAGCAGAAAATTTTAAATTCAAGCGCAATTAGTTAGCTAGTTGAGTCCAAGGTCAGGATGACTACTCAAGGTCAAATGAAGATCAAATAGGAAAGCCTCTAACAATCCTACCGGATTAGTGACGAAAATAGCTATCAAGCTCAGGTTGTAGTTAAATTAATGAGTGGTATTGGGTTTGCTCTCAAACTTCACCTTCAAGGTCATTTCAAAGTGATTCTTTTTGATAGAAACCCGCAGCATCACCTTATTAATAATTTGTAATGTGCACTGTAATTCCCTCGTTAAAACTTTCCCAAAGATCTGACCTTGCCAGCTATTTTCGTCACTATTCTTGTGAGATTTCTAGCAGCAGACGTGATCACCTTGACCTTGAATTCTAATACACATTTGAAGATAAAATTTCCGGCTGTCGAATTGTAGGCATCGAAATTTGGAAAAATATAGTTGATCTTGAAATGATCTTGAGGTTGAGGTTCAAGACAAAATCCAAGATCACCGCTACTTGTAAAAATGTAATAAAGACCTGACCTTAACAGTTAATTTGGTAGCGATCTCTGCGAAATTTTTAGAGGTTTGCTAGCAGCACATATTTAACCTTTATTGGCCTATTTGACCTCCAAGGTCAATCTTCAAAAGAGTGATTTCCATTAAAAAATGAAGTCAACCTTGAAATGACCTTGAAGATAAGGACAAATAGTTAATGACAACATCACCGTTAAAGTTTACCAAAACCTTGACCTTGATAGCTGCCATTACTAATCCTGTGAGATTTATAGAGGTTTTCATAGCAGCACACATTTGATCTCAATTTGAGCTTTAGTAGTAATCCTGGCCTTGTAATTTAATTATGCTTGAACGTAGAATCTTCCGTTCTTTCGACTGCCGGCAACAAAAATAGGGGTTTCTACATAATCAGAGACAGTTGGATGCAGTTTACATTGACTTTTCTAAAGCCTTCGATAAGGTTGATCATTTGGTTTTACTGACAAAACAATATCGTTATTAATGTCTTACTTGTGGAATCGACAACAGTACGTTTCTTACAATAGTTTTGGATCGTTTCGATACAATTCGTCATCTGGGGTGCAACAAGGGTCTAACCCGGGCCCCTTATTATTTTTGATCTTTGTGAATGATGTATGTGATTATATTGATTGTGGTAAACTGTTATTTGCTGATGATTTGAAACTGTGTGTTAATATTAATAGTGAAAGATTGTGAGTATTTACAAACGCAACATTGCTGTTTGAAAGATTGGAGTATGCTAAACAGGTTACATTTGAATATTGCTAAATGCAAGGTAGTAACTTTATCGCGAAAGCTACGTGAAATAGAATATGCATACAATATTGGGGGAATTGAGGTCATTCGAGTTGATACTGTTCTTGATTTGGGTGTTATGCTTGACACTAGGCTTAGTTTTGGCTGTCATAGAGATAATATTGATAATGATAATAGGGCCTTGGGTTTTCTCATCAGAAACTGAAAGCTAATCAATGATTTGACAGCACTAAAAGCCTTGTATTATGCTTATATAAGATCCAAGTTAGAGTATGCATCCCTGATATGGAATCCCTACTACAACTGTTATACGTATAAATAGGATAGATTATATTCAAAAAAAGGTTCTTAAATATCTATCTTTTAAGTGCGATAGCGTCTACCCTCAACGTGGGTCGGACTATCGAATTATGTTAGACAGATTTAAAATGACGTTTTTCAATGTGAGAAGGAAGCACGGTTCTGTTATTCTTTTGTTTAAACTCTTGCATGGAACTATAGTCTCTTCGGAATTGTTATCACAACTACAGTTCTTAACGCCAAGATCCGTTTCAAGATGTAATGTTACTTTCTTTTGCAGTCGTGCTAGCACAAATTTGATTTTGAAATCACCTGAAAGGCTTATGTGTTTGAATTATAATAGTATTTGTAAGTTTTGTGACATATTCTTATGTTCTATTTCTGAGCTGAAATGTGTTTTGCGGGAGCGCCTTAGTTAGTTTTTTTAATATTTCTAATTTAAGATTTTGGCCTATAAATATTATTATATATTATAATATTATCTGTTGGGCAATAAAAGCTATATATACAGTACAATGCTCGATTGTCATTTAAACTAAATGATCGAGAACTGAGGTGCTATTTATAAATTTTCGGCTATTATCAACACTGCAAGATATTTCAGTACCTGAAAGCAATAGGGAAATGCAGTGAACTTGCGATCTTAACAGGAGATATTTAACATGCTATTATAACTTGTATATGATTCACCACACTTCCCATCATATTAACATTTTGTCATTTTATGTGGAATCGATGTAATTAGCATAGTAGATGCATCAACGTCAGTATATCTATATTTGTTAAATCCTCATCATTATATTCAGCACATTTTTTGTGCTGATTTGCTTTCTATTTATAATCAAAGCCTAATTGCCAGCGCTTGCAAACAAAAAACAATATTCTCATATACTGCAATCGTTTTTCTGGTAAACAGCATTTTATTTGAAATATAGGATATACATTTTTTTTTCATTTTAATTGGAGTTTCAAGAGGACATTTATTTCTCCATGAATGCACGTCAACAAAGCTATTATCATTTTTTTCTGAAATGGTAGATGAGGGTATAAACAATATGATTACAGCTCATATTTCAATACTCCAGTTATAACCCGGAGCTAGGAATTGGAATATACATCTTTTATTCTATTGTTCATCTCAGTCAAACTCTGCTCAAATAAGAATCCCGATAGCTGTAACTATAAAATACACTTTGCCAATGGAAAAATCATCATCTTAGATGACGAAAAGGATTTATTTCACTTTGAGTACTTATGAAATTAAGGGAAACGGACGACGTGGAGGAATGTCCTAACAATGTTAGATACAAACATAAAGCAAAATTTGCAGATAAAATCCTTGTCTCGTGCGCAATTCCTAACCCCAACTTTTTGTGGGAAAAGTGAGCGGTGACGCTTTGGATAGTCGGAGCCTTTCCAAATTGCGTCAGTTCACGCTACCCAAAACACAACATACCAAAAACGATAACACTCCTGCATCAAGGCTTATCATGGAGGCTGGGAATAGTAATTTATGATCACTAGTTAGTGTTTAAATAAACGCCTTCATTAAAAAAAAGTCCGATAAATATTTTGTGTCAAAACTTTAAGGACCTCATTACCTATCTATAGGGTTTCATATTTAGTAAGTCGCATACGTTTACCAGTACCGTCGTTTGGCATGGAATTGATCGAAAATTAGTTGTTTTCTCATATTTTTCTCGGGTTATTAGGAACAATCTTTTAGGAGAAGTGTGAATATATAAAAAATGCTTATAGGACCCGTACAGTAAAATATCACGAATTTCAGTTTTAGAGTATAAGAAATATACAGGAATAAAGTCGTGAACAATCTCATACACATTTTGGGGTGAGATTGTTCACACATCCTATGCTGCACAGGAAGTAAGCAGATAATACTATAGATGATCAATCTCACCGCCTTTGTTCTATGTCAAGTATTTTTGAAGTTATAGCTTTTTATACTGTTGGGGTTGAAATAAATTGTTCAGGGTGGGTGAGATTGATCATGGGATTTATCTATCATAAATTGACCTTTCTTCACAAATTAAGAGAAATTGATAATTGTTATGAAACCTTTATTACGTACAAAAGTGAAAATACACAAATTTGAACAAAACAATGTTTCTCTTAATGCAAACGGAACTTGAAAGCAGAGTCACAAACTACTTCATTTCAAAAACGTCAATAACTCGTTCGAAAAAGAACTTGTCGATACCCTCACTTTGTTTTATTGACGGATTTGGTAAAATGGCTAACACTTCAGATATATCTGTTACAAATTCGTCACCGTCTTCAACTGCGAAAATCTTCTTTGATTTGTCTACAGACTTCATACCCAGTAAGTTAATTTCTTTTTTTCCTTCTTCGTCCACTCTCACCTGCTGTATAATAGCTGTGTGCCGATAGATTGCTTTCTTTCTTGATCCACCGTAAACCTTAACTAGAACAAATTTCCCAGCCGCAATTTGATTTTCTTCTGGTTCGAAATATTCTGTCTCTACTCCGACATCGTCATTTGTATCTTCTAGGAGATTGTCGTCGGAGTTGTCATCGGTTAATGGCTTATCTACATCTGAAGCGCTAGAATCTCCATCAATACATGCTGTTACGCTTTTGCCAGGTTCTACCGATAGTTTTATCCTTTTAATATTCCTTCTTGTTGGAACTGCTGTTAAACGTTGTTGTTGCAAGTACTTCACAAGAACGTTATTCACAGTGCCATCAGTATCATTGCCAATAGCTTGACTTGGGATCTCCTGCAAGACTCGCTCAGGATCGAATGACGCAACTCCTGTCGCTTTTTTATAGCATTTTCTGATTTTGTATTCATTTCAATAAGAGCGGAAAGATCCAACATCAAGGAGTTGTGTGAGGTGAGTCGAATTCTTCGGAAGGCGCACAAAGGCAATGTCATTTTCTTGGCATTGTTTTAAGACAGTATCCGTGAAATGAGACGAGAGATTGTCACCCAACAGAACCTTGCGACCCGGTAAGCGATTGGCATGTGGTAAGAATGGCATCTCAAACCAGTCGGTGAAAGTTTGGGCATCGGTCCACCCATGGTGGGTTCGATTGTAACGAGAACCTTGACCACAACATCTGTCATTGCAACAAGACCCAATTCAGTCCATTGCTGCCAGATAGCTGCCAATAGTACACCAGTGGCTGTACCACATATTATAATTGATATTGCTGTCTTTGTAAAGTTGCATATGCGTTCTGGGTATTTGGTTCCACGACGAAATAACATTTTCTGCTTCCCAGGGTCATCTTGCAGATTCGTTTCGTCCTAATTGAACACATTAGCAGCTGGGACATCTTTCAGCGTTTCTCTCAGATTACTAAAATATTCTACGACGATATCACGCGAAATACGTGCACGTGACCTTTTAATATTTGCCGACACTTTTTGACTGATCTCTTTTTTGTGTCCTTCTAGCAGAGAACGAGCCCAGTCTATTCCAGGCATATTATATTATATTTAAACTTACTAACATTGCGACCTTGGCTATCTAAATAATTTTTAGCTAAGTATCGTAAGTCAGTTTGCTGCCTTTATAAATGTGGAAACTGTTTGACCTCCGCTTTTTCTTAATATGTACCAATGTATTTATAGCGAAGTGTGCCAAATGGAATTTTATATTCAGCTGCAGCACGACGAATAGACCAATCATCTTCAGCAATCTTTCGAAGTGCTAATTCGGCCATGGCGTTAGAATAATCCTTGTAGGGACGTGCTCCTAGCCTTCGTTGGTACTTTCTTGGCATGGTTGGAAAAAACAAAAAAAATTAGATAAATAAATTAGATTTTAAGTTACCTTCAAACTTATCTATTACGTGGGGTGAGATTGATCAGATGACAAATCTCGCCCCATATACATGATCAGCTAACAAAACGACAAATAAGATCAAAATGGCTGAGCCGATTGTTAACAGCAAACCATACGACGGCTACAAGTCATAAACATACAAATATATTTGCATGGAAATTAAAAAAACCTACTTAAATTCTGACTTACCAGACAAAGTTCTCGATGTTCACTTTCACAGAAAAACACTGACTACTAACAACTTGCAGTTTTTTAATAAAATACGGAGCCGTTATAGTTCTGATGTCACTACTAGCCAATAGGATGATCAATTTCACCCCAAATGACGGTAGTTGATTATTTTTTCCTTGATGGATGTGCACAATGTTCCGATCAACGACTTCCCTGCATGTTTGACAACGCAACATGCATGAGCAGACATACAATATAATTTTTTGATATCTAGTTTGTAACGTCCGACGTCTTCGTTGGTGCTCGTTGGCTGGCTAGGCGCGCTATTTAGAACGCAATCCGCATAGGACTGCATAGCCCACTTTGATATCCTGGCACCACCGAGCAATTCTAAATACTCTCTAGCCACGTCCTGCTCTTGTCTTCCGCTCCAACAATCCTCTAACTTCCACTTTATCCGTCCTCTATTCAACCAGTACCGGATCTGGCAGCCGTATGTCAGTGTTACTACGCTCAGAAACTACATTTACCAATTAACAGCGTTCTAGAAGATTCGTTTCGAGACGAAGAATATTCAGGATCATTAACAAAAAAAATATTTCATGAAAAGTTAAGATGTAGTTGGTGTTTCCCGGAGTAAGCAAGTGGTTATCGTTCACTTGGACAATCATGCTAATCGCCGGGCAATGACGTGATTGGCCAGCCAAGTTGGGCAGTGTTGTTAAAAGCATATGAGAAGCGAGGTGTTAACATTCATTAGCCAGAAAGTGACGTCAATGCCTGTCAAACAGCGGACAATGGAGATATAAAGAGATCAAGGGCAGGACTTCATTAAGTTCCAGCAAGGAATTCAACAGTGACCTTGAACTTTACCTTGACCTTTATCTTCAAAGTTTATCGTCAACTTTATTTTTTCACGTATACTCCCTATTTCTGATACTGGCACTCGAAAGAGCAGGAAATTTTTCGCTCAGGCGCTATTGGCTAGTTAGTTAATTTAAAGATCAGGATGACTATCAAAGATCAAATGAAGGTCAAATGTGTGCTGCTAGGAAAACCTATATAAATCTTATAGGATTAGTAATGAAAGTGCCTATCAAGGTGAGATCTGTAGTAAATCTTGACGAGTGACCCTAAGCGTCACGCTCAAGGTCATTTTGGGGGTCAATTTTTTTTTAAAATAAAAACCCACACGAACAGCATCTGTTAAAAATCATTCGTAAGGAGCACCGTAGTTCCCTCGTTAAAACTTACCCGAACATCTGACCTTGTAAGTTATTTTCATCACTATTCGTGTGAGATTTCTAGAAGTGTTCCTAGCAGGACACATTTGGCTCTAATGTGACCTCTAGTGGTCATCTTGACCTTGAATTCTAATCCATATTCGAACATAAAATTTCCGGCTCTTTGGGTTGTCGACATTAAAAGGCATTTGTATTTGCAAAAAGGATCGATCATGAAAAGACCTTGAAGGTGAGGTTCAAGGTCAAATCCAAGACCACCGCTACTTTGGAAAATTTACTGACTTTACTAGATATTTTTGCGAAATTACTAAAGGTTTTCCAAGCGGCACACGGTTGACCTTCATTCAATCTATTTGCCGACCAGTGCTCATCTTGATCTTGAATTTTGATACATATTCGTATGTAAAATCTCCCGCCCTTCCGATTGCCAGCGTCAAAAATCGGGATCTAAATTTAAAAATGAAGTTGACCTTGAAATTACCTTGAAGGTCAGGAGTAAGGTCAAATCCAAGGTCACCGTTTCCCCGCTCGTTGAAATTTACCAAAGATCTGACCTTGATAGTTGTTTTCATAACTGATCTTGTAAAATGTATAGAGGTTTCCTATCCGCACACATTTAGCATTTAGATAATGCACTGGCCTTGGACTTCAACTCGTATTTTTACCTAAAAGTTTTCGTTCTTTTGATTGCCGGCATCAAAAATCGGGATTTCCGTAAGAAAATGAAGTTGTCCTTGAAGTGAGGATTAAGGTCAAATCCAAGGTCACCGTTCACCTGCTCGTTAAAATTTACCAAAAACCTGACCTTGATAGTTGTTTTCATAACTGATCCTGTGAAATTTATAGACGTTTCCTACCCGCACACATTTAGCCTTTAGATAATGCACTGGCCTTGGACTTCAACTCGTACTATTACCTAAAAGTTTTCGTTCTTTTTATTGCCGGCATCAAAAATTGGGATTTCCGTATGAAAATGAAGTTGACCTTGAAGTGAGGATTAAGGTCAAATCCAAGATCACCGTTTACTTGCTCGTTAAAATTTACCGAAGACCTGACCTTGATAGTTATTTTCATCGCTCAGCCGCCATCTTGAAATGTTAAACTGTCACAAGTTAAATTAGGAGTCAAAGCACTACATTATACTCGGTTTATTGGTTTCAAACCAATAAACAGAAATTCTAAGGCTATAAGTTCTGCAGCTTTTAACTATTATGATGGTTACATAAGCGTTACTTGTTTAAACCACTTGAGGAACATGAATCAGACGGTGTATCTAATGCAAACCCAAGTGTAAGCAGGGCAGGACTATATCGGCATCAAATAGGTGTTTGCTGGTGTAAATGGTCTTTAATCACAAACAACAACCTCAGTTATCTGTGAGGAAATTGCTGTCCACCACACTAGGTGATATTATCCTCTAAAATTGCATCCTCAATATATTGTAATACAGTATGAGCATAAAGGGTTTTTTTGAATGCTTTATATTAACCATATCGGTGGAGGCTAGCCCATGGACATGGATCAGGTACCATAGGTTAGAGTATCAAGATATTTGTTATTCAGGGTGATTCACAAGTATTGACCAAAATGGAACATCATATGGAGGACCGCCTTTTGGGGGTGGTCTTTTTTGTAACATTTGTTCATCGAGAGCTGCATTAAAAAGATACGGGGGTGTTGAAGTTTAAAAATATTTATTTTGATATCTTCAAAACCGTCAACTGGAATGAATTGAAATTTGGTATGTGGATTAACCTAAGTATTGTCTACATTAAGTCTTTACTTAAAATTGACGTGCACCAGTGGCAGAAATACAGGGGATTAGTGGCATTATTTTTTCAAATAAGAAGTACGCTACTGTTTTGTTTTCCGAAACGCGCAATTTAAGGAATTTTAGTGTAGTGCATTATTTTCTTAAAAATGAAAAAAAAAATAGATAATCACAGCTTAAATTCAATAAATGTTCATTATGAAGGAGTCAAGTGCGGCATCTTTTTATTAAAGAAAAACGTATTTCCACAAAATTTGTTGTGACTTGAATTTCATGAAAGGCGTTATCTATTCTTTCTTATAGCTGTTCAATAGTATCAATTTGTTCAGCATACACTGATTGTTTAAAAGCGCTACACAAAAAGAAATCCAGTGGGCTCAAACCAGGAAACCTCGCAGGCCAATGTACGGGTCCGTTTCTGCCAATCCATCTTTGTCAAAAATAACCATGCGTTTATGTCACGACGAACATGCGGTGGGACACCGCCGTGCTGGTACCACATCCGTACTCTCGTTGCTAACGGAACTTCATCTAACATGTAATGTGACTCTCTAGAAAAGCTAAGTATGAGTTTGCGTTTAAACGTTGTGGCAATATGAGAATAAATAGTTGGCCATTGAAAATGTCGCACCAGACATTTTTTGAAAATGTATGTTGAAACTAACGGATTCTTTCAGAACGAGGATTTTCAAACAACCAACTATGTTCATTATGAGAATTAAAGGATCCACTCCTCGTATAAAACGATTTATCCGACACAAAACCAAATCAATAAAATCTGCATTTTCATTATGCATTTGCAGTAACAACTTACAAAAATTTCGCCATTGCACTTCGTCGCGGGTTGCAGACATTGTACATTTTGCCGATGATAGGGATGCAAAACTTACCGATTTAAAATTCTTCACGCAAGTCTTTGGGAACATGGTAACTGGGCTGCAATTCGCCTAGTACCTGTGCTAGGATCGTGCAACGCCAAATTAGTAACTTCCAGTTCCTCTTGAACAGTATGCTGGACACCGTGGCCTCTAGCTCCGAGAAGTTTATCAATTCCATATTGCCGAAGTCTTGGAAATGAACGCGTAAAAACCTTTGGGGTTGATTGGCGTCTGTTAGAAAATCTACCTTCATATTCCCGAGAAGCTATTAGAGAACCCGTACACAAAAATAATATCGGCGTACACATCATTACTAAATTCCATTTCACAACACTCAAAAATTGAATAAAGAAACTTTTGACTTGACTTTGACAAAAAGAAAAAAATGGTAGTAGTAGCGATAACAACCGTATAACCTTGACAAACTGTCTCCCAAGAAACATCAAGTTGGTAACAAGCCCCACCATTTAATTTTGAAACTAATTAAATGTGGACAATACTTAGGTAAATTCAGAAAACAAATTTCAGTTCATTCCGGATGACAGTTTTGAAGATATTAAAAAAAAACTTTTCTGAAGCCCTCCAGGAAAAAATGTTACATAGAAGACATGCAGTCATGTGTATGATGTTTCATTTTTGGTCACGATTTGTGAATCACCCTGTATACTCGTATCATCATAGCTACGAATTAAAATGACGCCAGTATGCTTTTGTTGTATGAAAACCATTATCAGAAAAATTATGCAAGTAAAAAAAATGTTTACGATTTATATTTTATGTTTAAAATAGTTAACGGTATCATAGATTGTCCAGAGGTGCTTGCACAAATAAATCTTAATACGGCAGAGCAAAGCGCCGTCTATCACACCAGAAT